AGATAAATTCTCATGAAAGGATGTTTATTAATAAGTACATATGACCTTTTTTCTTTTTTTTTTAAAATTATATAGTGATTACTATTTATTTTTTAATCCAGTATAATCCAAGAGAAGCAGCCAAAGTTATATTTGAATATAGATTAATTTCATTTTGCATTTAATGATTTGAGTTATATCTCTTTGATAATGTAACCATATATATATATATATATATATATATATATATATATCACACATTGAGTGCTGGTGCTAATAAAATTGTCCTTGATATATAACAACAGAGCAAAAATTTATAATAATAATAAATATACATTTTTTTTTTTTTTTCACCAGTAGCACAACTTAGATTTTGGGGATTATACAATCGTGAGGGTCGATTTTCCAAACAAGGCTTGGAATTTTATAATTCAATGTTTGGGAACAATTTTGTTCAATAATTGTACTAACTAGAAATGTATTGGTACTTTGCATTGCAATTTTTTGCATGTATGTAAAAATGGGACAAAAATGATTGTTGATGTGTATGAAGAAATACATATGAAACTTGATCTGTTGGACATGACAACTCTCATTTTTGTTTCTACAGTGTGCGATGGATAAATTGTTGCCATTTTTTATTTTGCGCATGTGTGTTATTTGCTTTTAATTTTATCGACTGAACAATATAGTTGGGTCAATTGTGCACCATCAGCGAAAAAAAGAACACCACGGCGCAATTCACTCTGCCAGAAATTTGGAAATGGTATGCTGTACTGTTTGCATTCACACTGGAAGTTCCAATATGATCATTTAAGAGTGTTTGGGTGTCAATCTGAGAATAGTGCAGAGGATTTGAAAAGAGTTGAATGAATCTAATGGTGATTACAAAGTAGGTACCTCCACTATTTCAGCATAAATCTTTGATACCTAAAGTTTTAAATGAATTTTTAAAAATGAAAAAACATTTTTGAAGATTTCATTTTAGCATTAATTGAAAGCTAAATGATTAAATTCATTATTTCCAGTAAGTAAAATATTCTGGTGTATTTCAGATAGAAATTATATAGATTGGAATGTCAAATTTAATTTTGATTTCTTAAAATTTTCTTAAAAGCAGCCATTTTCTTAATTTTAAGAAATTTGTAAACAAAAACATTTTTATCAATTTTAAAATTCTTTCAAAATATATATATATATATATATATATATATATATATATATATTTCTGACATGTTATTTGAGTAAAATTAAAAAATTTAAAGTTAATTTGATTTGAAATAAATATTACTTATAGCATAAAAAAGTAATACAACCATTTATTTAATGATTGGTCCTGCTTATCATAGCTTATCTGAGACGATAATGGAGGGCTGATGAGTGATGAAGTGATGAGAGCTTGTATGGCTGGCAAAAATTGATACAAAATTTCTGAAATCTAAGTGAATGCATTTTTTTTTGTTTTTGTTTTTAACTACCTAGTAATTTTTATAAATGAACATATTTTCTGAAATTATCTAATGGTTAATTGACTTTTATTTATCTTTAAATAAAAAAAAAAATTAAAATACTATAAATTTTTCTTAAATTAATTTCTCTGTAAAGAGACAAAACTCTTAGATCATGTGACTGTTTCATGATAATGTAATGTTTAGATTTTCATAGATGAAAATAGGGAACAAATTAAGTAAAAAAAATAAGAAATAAAAAAAATTATTTATAAAATAGAATAGCATAACTACATTTATTAATCTTTCCAATTCTGGATTTGTAAATTTCGTTTCCACTTGATTACTGTATCACATCCAGGAAATGGCCCAATACAGAATTTTACACATTTTTAAACTATTATAAATTATTATAATTAAAATTTAAAAAAAAATGAAAATTTTTTTGCAAAAATTCATTATTCACCGGAAAAATTTTATTTCTTCAGACAATAATATAACTTATTTATAAAAGCAATTAAAAGCTTTTCTAACTAAATAATGTCATAGTTTTATTGCATTTATTATTTTTCAATTCTGAGCAGATTTTCAGTTAGAATAGTGCAAGTTTGGAAAAAAAAAGATTAAAGTAATTTACATTCTCCAAGTAGTAAAAAAAAAAAAAAAAAAAAAAAATCGCAAATAGAAAGATTTTTTTGTGAATTTTCATGAAATTAAGTAAGTGGGGGGAGGAGTAACATATGTAAAAAAAAAAACACTTTCATTCATTTGTGAATAAGTGCTGAAAATTTAATTAAAATTGGGCAATTATTGGATTTTTACAAGAATTTCCAAATCAATGTGTTTTCAATGGAAAAAACATGCAAAAAGTCAATGTTGGTTGCCACTGCAATGACATAAACAAAATAAGATTTTCAATAAAATTTCAAACTTTTTAGAAAGGATTAAAAAATTTCAAAAACTAATTAAAAAAATACTTTGGTCTTTCATCTTAATAATAATATAAACATTTTGATGATAATACATTATTTTTATTAAGTTTGTGGCCTTTTTCATTGCACTATGCTGTTTTCCTGTGAAAAAGTGGAGGTATCTATTACAAAGATATAGCACTTCAGAAAACTCACTCTGATTGTTCTGATAAAAAAGAACTCCTAAATTTGTTGGTGAAGGCCTCAGGCTCAACACAGAGGCTTACATCAAGTGCCTTGAGTAGGTAGTTCTTCCCTGGATCAAGAGGGTGTCTACTAGAAGACCCTATGGCATCAGGACTCTGCACCATGCCACACAAGCAGAAGAACCCAGTCATGGCTGTCAGATAATTTCTGCGACCACATCACCCCTTAGATCTGGCTAACTAACTCCCCAGATTGTAACCTCCTTGATTATTATGCATGGGGCACAGTTGAGCGAGAGACCAACAAAACTCCTTAAAACAAAGATGAACTGTGGACAAGGATTATGGCAGTATCCACCAACTTAAACAAGGAAACTGTCCAGAAGAGTTGCAAGAGATTCCAAAATTGTCTGGAGGCTGTAGTTGAAGCCAATAGTAATTTTATTGAATAAATTTACTCTTTAGTATTTAAAAATATTTGTTGTGCTATTTTGGTAAATATATCTGTTAAAATGAAATGTAAATATTTTTGTTTTTTTCGTAATTTATATGACAATTTATCCATCGCATCCTATATGTAAGAAGAAAATAAAGTCTTTTTTTTTTTTTTATCTGGATGATGGTAATGTCAGCTAATTAAAAAAATATTAAAATAAATATTAAATAACAAACTTGTAATAATAATAATAATAAACTTTTTTTTTCTTCTTCATGTCAAGAGATTACCAAACACATTTTGTCAGTTTGTGTTTCTTTTTACACCCGTGTATACCTCTGCATATATATGCAGGCGCACACATATTTGTGTGTCTAAATGATTACTTACGCACTATTTAATACCATTTCCTTTAAGTGTTTATTAGCACCTATTACCCAATTTCTTACATGTGTTTATGAAAGTCTATACAATGTTCTACAGTTAGTTTTTGTATGATTGTTTATAATTTACCATGCATGCATGAGTGAATGCAATAATACATGCACACAATTTTGTATGAGTACCTATGGATGCTTATATTTGTGTGTGTGTGTGTGCACACAAGTGCATAAGTAAATAATTTGATGTGTATGTTAGAGTGTGTGCGAATTTGTTAGTATGTGTATGTTGATGAATATGTCTGTGCATGTATGTGTGTGTGTTAGAGATTGCTTACAAATGTTTGTGCTAGTGTCTGCAAATACGTTGGTGTTGCTGTGTGTTAGTGCTTTCAAATTTGTTGGTGTGTGTACATACTTTTATATTTGTATGCATTAATATGTGCTTTAGTGGATTATTTTATCATGCAGGTCATGGTTTTCAAAATAAAATTGATATATAATTTTCTATTGGAAAGGCCATTCCATTAATTTGATGTCTTTAAAACCTTTTTGGCAAGATAGGCAATAGTCAGTTTTGCAGAATGTGAAGAAGCATTGTCTTGCATGAATATAATACTCTTTAGCTGAAAGCTTCTTGGATATGATTTGTACACCTCAAAAATATCTTTTCCAAAAACTTACTAATTATTAATTATAATTTTATATCAGTAACACAAGGTCAAAATATCATGTTACCTTCCCAACATTGTCCTCTCAGTCATTAACTGTTTCCATGAAGGACCCAGCCATCAAGTCCATCCAATGTAGCTCTACATTCATCACAAAAAGGTGCTATTGAGAAATTATTTTTTATATTTTTTTGTCTGAAGTGCACATTTTGCTTAGACTTGCAACACCAACTTCTTCAAATATTGGGTTGGCCAAACAATTTTTTTTTAGTTTAAGTACTTAATAAAACTGTATTCAGTTTTTTTTGTGATAGTTCTCTGATCTTTATAAAAGTTTGTTACAATATCCAACATTGTGTCTCCCATCACTCACTGGTTTTACAATATTTTGTTTAACTTTTGAAGTTATACTTTTAATTCTTTTTTTTATGTAAAAAAAATAAATATCTTGGATTCTTATATATATATATATATATATATATATACACACACACACACACACACACACACACACACACACACACACACACACACACACTTAACATGGAACAACACTTGTTGCAAATCTTAATCACCAAATAAGTTCTATATAAAAAAATTCTGTGACTTCTGTCACACCCTCTAAAATAGCCATACATTGACTGTTCAAAACTAAATTTTGAGGAGAAATACAAACAGGTCAGTGGGTTTTAGTCTGCATAGCTTAGTACAATAAATCTTCATTCCTTTTTGGGGAAAAATTAAAAGTTTTGACCAATTCGTAAAAAAAAAAAAAAAAAAAACTAATTAAGACATGCGTGTCCGTCAACCTTAAACAATAATCTTTGTCAATTTTATTTTTCAGTCTTTATGATGGTGGATACTTGATCTATCTCTTACTGTTATATCCCCAGGCAACGCCGGGCTCTACTGCTAGTAAATCATAAAATTCATGAATTAGTTAATATTGTGAACCCAGATTTTGGGAATATGGAAGAAGCTGTAGCTTCCTGGAAAGATGCTGGACTTTTGTTAAAGTATTTTGTAATAAAATCTCTGTTAATGATTTTTACAATTATGTTGAAAACTTATGAGAAATTATCATAAACATGTTGCCAACCCCCCCCCCTATCCAAAGAGCTAAAAATATAATTAATATCATTGCTGTAAGTTCTGCAGGGGCTGAAAGAGGGTTTTCTGGGATGAACATATTTTGACAAAAGAAATCGTCTTGAAGATAAAAATGTGGTAAATTTTCTTGTCATACTTTTGATAGGTCTTCCATTGAATCTTCGGAACAGCAGTGATTTAATTCAAATATTGCTAAGAAAATATAACACAGCTGATGGCACTAGAGTTAAAAAGTATCATATTTCTGAACAGAAATCAAAAAATGACTTCGGAAATGCATTTTAAAATGATACATTAGAAAATATTATGTATATTCTAGCTCAGGACTATATACAGACAAAAACTCATCTACAGACAACCAGCGTCTCCCATCAACAGACCAGATGCAACAGACAAAACCTGGACCCCCCCCCCCCGTCACCGGCGTCTCCCATCAACAGACCAGATGCAACAGACATTTAAGCATTTAGAATTTTAACCCACTTATTTCAGGAAATGCTATGAATGATTAAGCATTGTATTTTGATTATCTCTTAGATCATAAACTAATGTGAATTTTGAATATTTTATCCCCACAGGACCAGTGGAATTTTCATGTTGTATCAATGATATTTTCAAAATGGACACCAAATAAATCCTGGAATTTAATACTACAGAAAAAAAAAATGAATTATTATTTTCAGCTGAGATTTATTCATTTAATGAAAAACAAAGCAGTATTATTCTGGATTAAGAAATTTTAAAAGACTTTCTTTTTTCAAAGCATTTCTCTTCTGTTTTGTTATTCCTCTCAATTCCAAAATTGGATCTGAGATCCAATATTTGGAAAATTAGTGTTCTGAGAATGAAACCTGGGTTCAAATTTCACCATGGTTGTTTTGTCAAGTAAGTAACTAGTTGATGATATCAGCCTTTGTGAGACAATACCAGTGTGTAGCACAGTTGACAAGTGCCACCATACCACAAGTTGACTCAAGCTATTTTTTTTTAATAGTAAAATTGAATAGATAGAACTGCTTGGAACAAGTCTATGGTTGTGCTAGTATGTTGTCAAAGGATTTGAATTTACTGGCTTTGTTTTAACTGTCGATCATACTAGATTATGCACTCTCTCACAGAAACTGTAACTAAAATCTATCAGAATAGTTGGCTTTGTGATTGTTGAACAAATGCAAATGTGCCTGAGAAGGTGTCTGCAACAGGGATTAGCCAACTATTCTAATAGACAGGCATATTCAGGAACAAGCAGCTATCCAAACATTTATTTACTTTTCAGTTCAAATCCCTTTAACTGATTTTTCTATTTTGAAATGTTTAGACTTTAGAAAAACTTACTAAATAAAGCTGTTAAAAATATGTTCCAGTTTTGTTGAAAATTTAGTGTTGTTATTGAATAATACTGTCTTCATTAAGTACAAGGTGTCCCAAAAGTCACCAAGAAGTCGAAAAGTTTAATAACTTTTATTTTTATTAAATGCCATTAGAATGCACAGGGGTTACAGGGAGTGAAACAATGAGAATACTGAAAATGGGGAGGATTAAGGAAAGGGCAAAAAAAAAAAAAAAAAAAAAAGGAACAGGGTTCGAGAAGACAGAAGATGGCAATTGACATTGCATTCAAATTTTTGAAGATTGTAGTTATCAGGGAAGCAAGAAATCAAAAGGGAGTTCCATGGGTGAGAATTGTAAGAGATTAGGAAACATAGTATTAACACCTACTTTTTTTTTTTTTTTTTTTTCTTTCAGGTATTTTGTAAAGGAAGCTTTGGAAATTAATCATGTAAAAATGCACAACTGAAAAACAAACACATAGTGAAATCCTTATTCCAAAACCAAGGATCAATAATTTAAATTTGATGAACACATTGTTGTCATTAAAGTGTGAGAGATTCTGCAAGTTTTGAGAGTAACAGTCCAGTAAGTGACCTTCCACGAATTGGCATACCACATTTGGCTAAGAATGAAGGAGTATTTGAATGAGTAAGAGAGAGATCTAATCACATCATTTCAAAAACAGGCTTGACAGGTTTGGGTCTCTCAGATATCACTCTAACAAATTTTTAAATGCATCAATCTGTTTCTATACAACAAGATGGAGCAATAGTTTGTATGGCAAGAACCATAATCTGGCTTCTCAGGATACTTTTGGAGAAAAGAATAATTTCTCACAACAGCAGGATAAAATGGCCACTACATTACCCTATATCTGACAGGCTCTGCATCCTTTCTATGTAGCTATTTAGAAAATATTTATGTCAACAAGCCTCAGACTCTCCAACAACTGAAGGACAACATTCTGACAGACATCAAAACACTGGAGTCTGAAACACTGATTGCTGTGATAGGAAATACCTTAGAAAAAACACATTCTTGTGAAGCTGTAAATAGATGCCACTTAGAAAATTTAATCTTTCTCAACTAGTGTAAATCTATTTCCCATATCTACTTTATATGATACTATGATATTGTGAATTAAAATTAAAAAATAAGTGAGTTATTAAATTTTGAAATCCTTTGGTGACTTTTGGGACATCCTGTATAAATAAGTATATTTATTTTGTAGATTATGATAACTATTCTATGAAAGGGAAAATCTGCTCAAAATTAGTTCATTTAATTCATAGTAACATTAGTAGGATTTATGAAACAAACACACTCTTATGATTAACATGTATAGAGCAACAGCAAATACTAAATGCATGTGGTTGCACAAAGTTGGATCAATAAATCTCTAACCTGAAGCAATTAGTTGAATTTTGACCTGGAATTTTAACTGTATCTTTTACAGTCTGCTTATATTAAAGTTTAATATTTGTTTTTTATCAAGTGACATCAATTGAAGATTTTGATAATTATCTAATGTTCATTGCATTTTGATTCCAATTGGTTAAAAGTGAAGAATTAAAAATATATTTTTTTTATTCTGTTCAACATTCAAACTTGTTTGTTTAGTACCTTACTTCTTTTTTCCAAACCCATTCATATTTGATGAAAACCTGATGAAAAAGGATTTGTTACCTTGAGTGGGTAGAAGAAAAAGCAACCCCACCTCTTTACTAAAAGACAGGTTAAGTGAGAGAGTGTACATAGGAAAATTTAATTATTTTCTTTCTTTTTTAGTTTTTATTTCTTAAACTACATTTTTTATTTTAATTATTTGTTTTTTTTTTCTTTTAATTTTTTAGTAATTCAATCTCAATTTTTCTTTTTGTGCTATTTTTCTTATAATTTTTCTTTCTTCTGTCATTTTTGCTTTTTCTTACTCTTTTTTTTACTTTTTTCTTGCAACTTTCATCTCTTCTTTTTACCATCTTCTAGGTTCTCTTGTTTTCCTCTCACTCTTTATGCCTCATATTCTGTTTTTGCCTTCATTTTTTTCTCCTTTCTATCATCTGCTTCACAAAACAGTAATTACTTAATTTCAAAATGAGTGTAATATTTTCTATTCCATTTTTCTACCTCTTTTAAACTGGAGAGAGAAACTTTCAGTTGAAAGAAAAAAGATTTAATGAAAAGAAAGTAAGAATGAAAAACAGAATGAAGCTATGCATTTACTCTTGGGACAGAAACTAAAGGGACTTAACTATTTTTTTTTCCATTCAAATGACTGCAGAAACCAAATGATAAATTAAAGAGAAAAAAATTAGGCCATAGACATCAAAGAGATGTGGCAGTGTTTTTAAAATCACTTCCCTTGGCTTCAAAAATGTAGCAATGAGGTATCAAAATGTTTTAAAGAGTGATAGAAAAAAAAGTCTGTTTTTTCAAAAGAAGAGCAGTGTTCGTAATTTATTGTAGACTTTTGGGAATTTTGTAAAAATGCTAGTGGCGATAGATAGGAACTGTTTAATAAGTAAAGGAGAGATGTTAACTTAAAAATATTACTAAATAAGATAGAATGACATGAACTATAAATAAACATCTGAGAAAAAGTATAATAAATGATTGCTCTGAATCATTAAGCCCCATAAATAAATTTTAGCTTAATTTTGATTTGAAATTTTCAATCTATTTGAAAATCTATGTGAATTTATGAATTCACCACTGAATTAAGTCTATGCTTAGAGTATTGCTGCCACATATGGTCCAGTGCCCTTGTTATTTACCTTGAACTCCTTGATAAAATCCAAGAAGAATCAGCAATATTATTTGTCCTGATCTGGCAGCTTGGCTTCAGTCACTTTCCCTTCACTGTAAGGTTGTCTCTCTGTGTCTTTTTTATAAATACTTTCATGGTAATTGTATGGATGAACTCTTCACTATGGTACCTAGACTTTTTTAATTTAAGCGCTGTACTAGACTGGCATTGAGATTTCATTAATTTACAGTTGAGCTGGATAGATGTAGACTTAATTCAGTGGTGAATTCATAAATTCACATAGATTTTCAAATAGATTGAAAATTTCAAATCAAAATTAAGCTAAAATTTATTTATGGGGCTTAATGATTCAGAGCAATCATTTATTATACTTTTTCTCAGATGTTTATTTATAGTTCATGTCATTCTATCTTATTTAGTAATATTTTTAAGTTAACATCTCTCCTTTACTTATTAAACAGTTCCTTCCCTTCTGTCTCCATGCTTTCCAGCTAACTTTAATCTGCAAAAATTTAAATGCTATGTCAATCACTATCTACTGTCCTTCTGATTTACTCTTTCATCTTTCTGCTCATTATTAATGTTTCTGTTCCTAATTCTTCCACATCTTGTAACCCCTTGTTTCTTAGTGGCTTTTACTGCCTTGCATGGGGTGATACCAATTTTTTTTTAAATTATTAAGGAAGAAGCAGGTGTTTAAAGATAAATATTAGTTTTGCAAAATAAATGTAATTAGACTATGAATTTACTTATGTACCCACATTCTTTTTTACAACAAGAATTTGTAAAAGATTGTTTTCTTTCAGTCTGCAGTAGATTCCTGTTAAATGGAATATTGGTTACAAAGAAAAGCTTCTTTGTAGGGCCAATTATGCAAGAATGGAATCAAATTATCCTTTTGATTTAAAATCTGTTTAAAAGGAACTATTCCTTATGTAAGGACCAAACTGCTTGCATTGAATATGATTCACAGACAACTCAGAAAAAGTGAGCGATATTCTTAAAATAATGGCTGATGATTTATAGCTTTTTTGACATCTAGTTCCCCAAAGGCCCTAACGAACTATGACGATAACCTGGGTCCATCAGAAAAACATACTCTTGTCAAAAGCTATTAATACAAATGTCTAATGTCAGAGTCTATTCAAAAATCTTCATTGTTCTAAATTTCCACAATCCTCAGGCCAGTGTCTTATAGCTTTTGTTTAGAATGTTTGGTAGAAAATCTCCTTCTTTATTAAGGAAGAACAATTGTGACCTCTGAGAGAAGACAAAATGATGACCTTTTGGCAACTCATTTTTCAAGAAAACTACTCATGAGAAAATCTTGTAAAATTACTAGTGTTAGCATTGTTTTAAAGGTTTGATACAACTAGCTGTATTTACTTTTTGAAATATACAGTGTACATATGCCAGCCTAGAGTTTTTACATAGATAAAAATCTATAAAAAGAAAAAAGTTCTAAAATACCCAGCATCCCTCATTGTGTGCATGTGTAGTCATACCAACATAACAAATTTAGTCCGTGAAGTCTGGAAGGACAAAACATGTCACAAGTAAACTTTTTCTATTTTGTCATACATTTTCCCCAATATTGCTTTTGATATATAAAAATATATGTCATTATCTCATAGATTATATAGAAACACTTGAACAGTCATTCAATTTAATTAATAGCTAACTAAACTTTATGCAGAAATGAATGTCTCTTTTCAGAAATTTAAAAATAGGAAAAACTAGCAAACATTTGAATCATTGCATTATTTTTATTTTTTTCTTTACAATGATGTTCACCCTGAACAAGGCCCGAGAGTCACTCCAGGTAGAAGGTTACAAAGTAAGAGGCAGTTCATGGGGATATGCGAGGAAGATTACTGTTAACTCTAGACTTGAACAAGTTAAGATTGTAATGATCGAGGAAGCATGAACAGGTTAAGATTGTAATGATCGAGGAAGCATTCTCTTGGGAGTTCTGCAAAGCAGCAATTCATGGGAAAAAGCTGCTTGAGTGGAACTTGATTGAATTGTCTTACAAATCCTTCTTTAATTTATTGACATTAATTTCCACTACTGTAGATTTATTTTATATACACATTATGAGACACTGCTGCTGATAGAGTATAAATATTCACTGAAATTAAAAGGAAACGATTGTTTGAATTTGATTAGGAGCTTTGCTCCATTGGATGCCTTTATATATATATATATATATATATATATATAATGATTTTAAACAATTTCCAGTGGCTTCTCTTAAGATTTTTATCTAAATATTTTTTTTTCAAGTTTAAGAAAAATTTTAAAAAAAAAGCTTTTAATAATACCATTGTTTATTCATTGGAGAGCCTTGCTAAAAGAAATTTTAAATTTTATCCTAAACCATGTCATTGTAATAAGAGTGTTCATGTATGAAATGTATAAACAACTCAAAAGAAGTTAGCATTGAAATTTCAAACTAGGTCAAGGCAAAAAAAATCTTATTTGTCACTTTCCCTTTTAATAATTCTTTTTTTCCAAACAACATCCTCTTTTCTCTCTACCTTTCTCTCTCTACATATTTTCTATTCATATTTTTTTAATATAAAATCTTCCTTTTCTCTCTGTTTATTCTTACTTCCATCTCAGTAGACATGAAACTTCATAATAAACATGAAATCTTCAAAAAACAAAACAAAAACTTAAATTACATAAAATCAGTTTTCTCTGCTGTGAAATTTTAACTTGCATAGTACCCGTCAAAAATATATGGATCAACACTTCAGCTTCAGATTAGCATATCTGTGAATTGCTGTGTATTGCTCTGCAGCCCACTTTTGAGAAAAGTGTAATATCTGTCTGTGCACAACCCCAATATTTACCAGCTAATGTCCACATGTCATTCAAGCAACAGAGTTTTGTTGTACCTACAAACTTTTTGAAATAAAGAATTCCATTTTTTGATACATACGGAAAACTACTTGTTCATTTTAATCTATTGTTGATTTTACTTTATGAAAATAAAATTGACTGAATTTCTTGGATACAGTATATAAAAAAAATCTACACAGTTTTGTTATTCAGTATTTGAAACTTATGTCTGTTCAGTTCATGTTTACTCCTTTCTTTCTCTTTTTTTAATTCCTTTTTCTCTTTTTTTTCTCTTTCTCTCTTGCTCCTCTTTTTACTTTCTCCTTTTTTTTTCTCTCTCCTTTTTTTCTCTTTTTCCACTTTTTGCTGCTTTATCTCTTTTCCTCCTTTTTTCTTTTCTTGCTCCTTTTTTTTTCTCTTTATTCTCCCTCTTTCGCTCCTCTCTATCTTCCCTCCCTCTTTCGCACCTCTCTATCTTCCCTCCCTCTTTCGCACCTCTCTATCTTCCCTCCCTCTTTCGCACCTCTCTATCTTCCCTCCCTCTCTTCCTTTCCTCTCTATCTTCCCCTCCCTCTTTCCTCTCTATCTTCCCTCCCTCTTTCGCTCCTCTCTATCTTCCCTCCCTCTTCCTTTCTCTCTATCTTCCCTCCCTCTTTCTTTTCCTCTCTATCTTCCCTCCCTCTTTCCCTTTCCTCTCTATCTTCCCTCCCTCTTTTCGCTTTCCTCTCTATCTTCCCTCCCTCTTCCTTTCCTCTCTATCTTCCCTCCCTCTTTCGCTTTCCTCTCTATCTTCCCTCCCTCTTTCGCTTTCCTCTCTATCTTCCCTCCCTCTTTCGCTTTCCTCTCTATCTTCCCTCCCTCTTTCGCTTTCCTCTCTATCTTCCCTCCCTCTTTCGCTTTCCTCTCTATCTTCCCTCTTCTCTTTCCTCTCTATCTTCCCTCCCTCTTTATCTTTCCTCTCTATCTTCCCTCCCTCTTTCCTTTCCTCTCTATCTTCCCTCCCTCTTTCTTTTCCTCTCTATCTTCCCTCCCTCTTTACTTTCCTCTCTATCTTCCCTCCTCTTTCGCTTTCTCTATCTTCCCTCCCTCTTCCTTTCCTCTCTCTCTTCTCTCCCTCTTCCTTTCCTCTCTCTCTTCCCTTTCCTCTTCTCTCTTCTCTCTCTCTCTCTCTCCTTTCCTTTCCTCTCTCTCTTCCCTCCCTTTTGGCTTTCCTCTCTCTCTTCCTCCCTCTTCTCTCTTTCTCTCTCTCTCTCTCCTCCCTTTTTCTCTTTCTCTCTCTCTCTTCCCTCCCTCCCCAGCTTTCTCTCTCTATCTTCCCTCTCTCTTTGGCTTTCTCTCTCTCTCTCTCCCTCTTCTCTCTCTCTCTCTATCTTCTCTCCCTCTTCTCTCTCCCGTTCTCTCTCTTCCCTCCCTCTCTCTCTTTCTCTCTCTCTCTCTCTCTCTCTCTCTCTCTCTCTCTCCCTCTCTCTCCCTCTCTAGCTTCTCTCCTCTGTTTTCCTCTCTAGCTTCTCTCCTCTGTTTTCCTCTCTAGCTTCTCTCCTCTTTTTCAAATCTATTTTCTCTTTCTTCCTTTCTTTCTACTCATTCTTCTTCTCTCATCATTTTCACATATTTACCTCTATTTATCTCATAAGTTTTTATAATCTACTGACATCTTCAATTATCATTTCCTCCTTGTAAAAGGATAAATTGTTCATGGGGTGGGGAAGTTGATGCATTTTCACATGAGCCTGAAGTGTCAAACCAAACCCAGCCATTGAGACTAATGCTCTTCCCTGTCCCCAAGGCTCTCCTTCTGCCCACTTACCAAAACTCCTCATTGCTTCCTTTTTGCAAGATTTAATTTTTCAGACAGACTCTTCCTGTGTCTGTATGGATTTAGTTTGACCGTCATTGGAAAACCACCCCTAGGGTCGATACTACTATTTTTTTCCTCCAGTCTCCTGATCTTTTTAATGGATGAGTGTTTTTGTTTTTGGAACCAGAAACTACGTGGTTCCTTTTTGAGAAAATTTACATGTTCTTTTTTTTTATTGAAACAGTTGTCAGACAAGAGATTATTTCTTGGTTCTTAAGATTTTCAAATTAATCCAAAAAGTTTTTATTTTGAATTAGAGAGTTGAGGTAAAAATTAAATTAAAAATTTGCACTCATTTTTTTTTTTTTTGTTTGCTGGTAAAGAAATATATTACTCTTTGCTTCAAGGAAGCTGACCATTCCTCTCTCTTCAGAGCATGGCTGAAGAAAATAAAACAATTGTACACACAACTAACACTAAATAAACAATAGAACAAAGTAGTTTTATAATTTTCATTGGTCAGATTAATATGAACAAAGTACTTATTATTTCAAAGTTTAACTTACACAGTAGATAATTATTTCTTACTGATGGCTGTTTTGAGCTGAAGAAAAAGCAACATTTTAATGTAGACAGACTCTTTCTACTACAAAGATTTGGAGCATCACAATCTTTCTACTTTTATTTCTCACTTCATTTGGTTTACTTAATATCTATAGGATTTTGTTTTCCTTTTAATAAATACTTGTTGGACTATTTTTAAAGTAAAATTTTTTTAATCATTTCACCCCAATCAAAGCAATAAAGTCACTAAGATGTAAGGTGGTTGCTGAGAACATGAAAAAAAAACTCTATTAAGGAGAAAGACCAGTAAAATAAAAAGAATTAAGAAGACAGAAGATAACAAATAAATTGACATTGATCTTCAAAAATTTAAATGCAAAGTTGACTGGGATGCAAAAAGCTGGAAGAGAGTTCCACAAGCAAGAAGTGAGATGGGAAAAACTGTTAACATAGAACTTACAATTACAGCTAGACATTTCCATTGTAAAATGATGAGATCTTGCCACCAATCTAGTACTGCACTTAAATTCATAAAGTCTAGGTACCATAGAGGAAAGTTCATCAGAATAATTACCATGAAAGTATTTATAGAAAAGGTACAGGGAAGCTATGTTAAGGCAATGGGGTAAGTGTCTGAAGTCAAGATGCCAGGTCAAGACTAATAACATTGCAGATTCTTTGAATTTTATAAAGACTCTCTAAAGACATAGCAGGAGCACCAGACCAGATGTAGCAGCAATATTCAAAGCAAGGCCCACTTTCCTAGCAGCAGACCTATCAATTGATTAAATATAATCTTTCCACTTTATGTCAGTAGAAAATGTTTCTTATCTATTAAATTATCTAAAAAAATTCTTACTATTGCAGTTTTAGGATAACAGTAAACTATTGTAATATGTTTGAACAACCATTATGGATGTAATGCTTCTATAAATTTACGGAATATAATCTTTATAATATCATAATATATAAAATATATATGGTTGTTCCTTGTCATAGTAGAGGGTTTGCATGTCCCAATGATCCCAAGGGTGAAGATGACTGTAGTTCCAACTCCTATAGGGCCACCCATGGCAGTAAGGTTGAGGAGGAGATTCCAGACTGAATGCAACCAATTTTTGAAGAGCCCCATTGGTGGAATAAACAAAGATCTACATAATCTCAATGGCTAAACCAGCAAAAGGGGGCAGTGCCAGTTGGGCTGGTGTAACGAAAGCAGACCTTGACAGACCAAGTATCTGACAGCCTTATGCAACCAGGTTCACCAGATTTCAGCTGTGTCAATCCCCTTTGAGCCGCAAGGGAGGCACTTCTGGTCAAATGTGTGGGCTTCTCTGTCGTTCTGAGTTGTCCCCCAAACTCAAATTCAAGCGAATAGCCTTGTCAAACTCTCTTTGTTTCACAGCCATCTCTGCCACCATCATGGTGGGGGGAAATAGGGAGGGAGGATGATGACCCTGATGCAATGTTCAGATGCGAGAGGGTGTCTATGATATCATATTTTGGGAGCTAAGTTCAGTGATTGTCATTTTGTAGGATAATGGTAGCCATTTTGGATAGACAATGCTATATTTTTGTCAGTATATTGTGTGTGTGTGTGCATATGGAGGCTAATAGACAAGACTTTTGTCATTTTCAGGTAATTTTTTGCTTAGATGATAGATAACATTTGACTATTTTGGGTTAACACTGCCATTTAACACTAATCTTCTCCTTAAAGTGATTTGGTATCATTATAATAATTACGACTTTTTGACCCTCTTTACTCTATTTTTGCTTCTTACCCTCTTATTTTTATCTTTTTTACTCAATCCTCTGCTAATTTTATTTTCATTTCTGTTTCTATACTTCCCCTTCCTCTATGTTTTAATACTTTCTTAGATTAATAACTGAAAGATGAAATTTTCTGGTGTCACTCCCATTTCTATCATTCTCTTTTACTGTCTAATTTCTATCATTCTCTTTTTTCCCACAACACTCACACCTCTTCCTCTTCTATCATTCTGTCCCTCCCACAACACTACACCTCTTCCTCTTCTATCATTCTTTTTACTGTCCTTCCCACAACACTTTCCTCTTCTATCATTCTCTTTTACTGTCCTTCCCACAACACCACACCTCTTCCTCTTCTATCATTCTTTTACTGTCCTTCCCACAACACTACACCTCTTCCTCTTCTATCATTCTCTTTTACTGTCCTTCCCACAACACTCCTTAACCTACACCTCTTCTATCATTCTCTTTTACTGTCCCTCCCACAACACTTATTCTCTTTTTACTGTCCCTCCCACAACTCAACACTACACCTCTTCCTCTTCTATCATTCTCTTTTACTGTCCTTCCCACAACACTACAACACTACACCTCTTCCTCTTCTATCATTCTCTTTTACTGTCCTTCCCACAACACTACACCTTATCATTCTCTTTTACTGTCCTTCCCACAACACTACACCTCTTCCTCTTCTATCATTCTCTTTTACTGTCCTTCCCACAACACTACACCTCTTCCTCTTCTATCATTCTCTTTTACTGTCCTTCCCACAACACTACACCTCTTCCTCTTCTATCATTCTCTTTTACTGTCCTTCCCACAACACTACACCTCTTCCTCTTCTATCATTCTCTTTTACTGTCCCTCCCACAACACTACACATCATTCTCACTGTCCTTCCCACAACACTACACCTCTTCCTCTTCTATCATTCTCTTTTACTGTCCTCACTACACCTCTTCCTCTTCTATCATTCTCTTTACTGTCCTTCCCATCACCTCTTCCTCTATCATTGTCCTTCCCACAACACTACACCTCTTCCTCTTTATCACTGTCCTTCCCACAACACTACACCTCTTCCTCTTCTATCATTCTCTTTTACTGTCCTTCCCACAACACTCATTCCTCTTTATCATTCTCTTTTACTGTCCCTCCCACAACACTACACCTCTTCCTCTTCTATCATTCTCTTTTACTGTCCCTCCCACAACACTACACCTCTTCCTCTTCTATCATTCTCTTTTACTGTCCCTCCCACAACACTACACCTCTTCCTCTTCTATCATTCTCTTTTACTGTCCTTCCCACAACACTACCCTCTTCCTCTTCTATCATTCTCTTTTACTGTCCTTCCCACAACACTACACCTCTTCCTCTTCTATCATTCTCTTTTACTGTCCCTCCCCACAACACTTCTTCCTTTCTATCATTCTCTTTTACTGTCCTTCCCACAACACTACACCTCTTCCTCTTCTATCATTCTCTTTTACTGTCCTTCCCACAACACTCCCTTCTATCATTCTCTTTTTACTGTCCTTCCCACAACACTACACCTCTTCCTCTTCTATCATTCTCTTTTACTCCTTCCCACAACACTACACCTCTCTCTTTTCATTCTGTCCTTCCCACAACACTCTCTTCTATCATTCTCTTTTACTGTCCCTCCCACAACACTACACCTCTTCCTCTTCTATCATTCTCTTTTACTGTCCTTCCCACAACACTCCCTCTTCCTCTTCTATCATTCTCTTTTACTGTCCTTCCCACAACACTACACCTCTTCCTCTTCTATCATTCTCTTTTACTGTCCCTCCCAACACTTTACACCTCTTCCTCTTCTATCATTCTCTTTTACTGTCCTTCCCACAACACTACACCTCTTCCTTCTATCATTCTCTTTTACTGTCCTTCCCACAACACTACACCTCTTCCTCTTCTATCATTCTCTTTACTGTCCTTCCCACAACACTACCCTCTTCCTCTTCTATCATTCTCTTTTACTGTCCTTCCCACAACACTACACCTCTTCCTCTTCTATCATTCTCTTTTACCCTTCCCACAACACTACACCTCTTCCTCTTCTACATTCTCTTTTTTATGTCCTTCCCACAACACTACACCTCTTCCTCTTCTATCATTCTCTTTTACTGTCCTTCCCACAACACTACACCTCTTCCTCTTCTATCATTCTGTCCTTCCCACAACACTCCCTCTTCCTCTTCTATCATTCTCTTTTACTGTCCTTCCCACAACACTACACCTCTTCCTCTTCTATCATTCTTTTTACTATCATTCCTCTTCTCATTTTTTTACTGTCCTTCCCACAACACTGTCCCTTCCTCTTCTATCATTCTCTTTTACTGTCCTTCC